AAAAAAAAGATGGGAAGAAATAAATTAAAAAAGCACCAAAAGCTTGCTGCAACTTTCTAAACTTCCACATTCAGGCACTCTTCTCATGATATTGTGTATATAGAAAGCAGTATTCACAAATGCACTCACTCATCACTCTATCTTTGATGCAAAGCTTCGGATAAAAACACACATATCTTTGACATCGCAAAATGTTTTATAAACCAATAACCGTAAAAAAACAAAGGATCTTGATGGCACGAATACACAAAAACAATTTAGTAACTTAGAAGTGATTAAGATCAAATGTTTTTCACCGTATAAAAAAAAATCCCACCTGATTGAGCATCCATTTCAACCCAACTGCAGCCGTGCACTCGTTTTTCGAAGCGCTCGTGAACCAATCCAAATTATAAATCTGATCCAATGTCTCCACAATAGTAGAAACATTACTCCTCCTAACCTTAACCGAGAATATTTCCCCATTCGAACTAATATTCATATGACTATTCAATAATGTCTCAAACCATCCACTCCCCGACCTCTGAGTCGACAAAATCGCAAAATACCGGACAGGACTGCATTCGCATTCTTTCCTAATCAAACAAAAAAAAAAAGTTAATCAGTTGTAATTTCACATTCAAATGATCATGTGACTGAATTTGTAATAGCTTGCAGATAATTTAGTTTTACCGGCTGAAAGTCTTTGGTTTGGGGAAATGTACGTAAGGGTTTTCAGAAGGCTCGATATCAGTGGCTTCTTCACAAGGCTTCGTAGCTACTTGAAAGCTCGATAAAGGTCCGTTCGAAGACGATCTAACACTAATTTGCTTGAGACAGAGGGAACATATGTAAACTCCACACACCATAACGAAAATCAACACCACCATTCTCAATGCCAGTGGACTTCTTTTCGGATTTTTTAGATTTAAGCTATCCTGATACACAATCACACATCACAATTCAACTCCTTTTTTTTTTTAGGCTACATAACAAGTAAAATCCCATCTCTACAAAACTAAGGGAGTGTTCATACATTAAAAACAAAAAATAAATAGGGAACAAAAATGAACAAAAATAAATAAATAAATCAAATCTTGGTACTAATCTCCCCCAAAATTATAAAGTTTTCATTTTTATTTTTATTTTTTTCCATTATTCTGGAGTGTGTGCATAAAAACACTCCCCAGACCCAGACAATAGCTTGATTTAAGCTTGAACAAAAAACCACCAATGCTCAAATTATATCCTCAGACAGCACGAGATTCAACTCAAGAGCTCATTTTTTTTTATTATTATTATTATTATTTTATTTTATTTTTAAGTTTTAAAGCAGCGAACAAGATAGCAAACCACAAATTCGAACAAACAAAATCTTGAGAGGCCCCGCTTGAAGATTAGACAAAAGGGGGCAGAAAAAAAAAAATAAATAAATAAAAAAATAAATAAATAAATTCAAGACATTAATTTGCTGCCATTAATGGTAAACATCAAAGACGTTAGGGCGAAAAATTGACCGACCTTTCGTAATCCCAAAGGTCGAATCACGAAACATTATTCATTAAATTAAAAGTATAAACAAAAAAATGCAATAAAAAGATAAACTTTACCAACCCCTTTAAGCCAAATCGTCTACATTCGCCCATGAAAAGCAACTAATTTCTAAGAAAATCAAAAAGGGGTTTCATAAGTTTCGCATACCTTGGCCAATAAACAGAGATCGTCCGCCATAGCTGCTTTCGATTAAAGCCCAGATAATAATTTACAGAAAATAAGAATAAAAAGGGACAGCGACGAATTCTTTAAGGTTTTCTTGTTCTTTTCTTTTTGCCCTTGTTCATCGTCGTCGTCGTCGTATGATTTTCTTTCGCAGGTAGAAGAACTCTTGCATGGATGGATCAAAAATTACAGATGTAAAAACAATTACAGATGTAAAAAAAATCAGAGATTTTTTTTTTTTTTTTTTTTTTTTTTCTGTGTTCACTTCAACTTTTTTTTCTCCTTGATTGATGAGAACAATCTTTATTTGTCACGCTCCTTTTTTTTTCCTATAATAATAAATTGGTCACCGTTTTCTCTATCTGAATCCAGATGAAATCTTGTGAAACGACGCCGTGTCGAGCGCCTTGAATTTGTTGATGATTGATTATGTTTGGTTTTTAATCATGACTTAAATAAATTAGTATAAATTAATATATTAAATAATATATATATATAAAAGGACTTTTTCCCTTGCTAGACTTTCAAAATCATTAGGTAAAATACCATATGATATGAATGAACAGTTATTTTAGGTGCTAGTCTATGTGGTTTTGTTGAAGTATATTATAAGAGAAAAAATAATTAATTTAATTAATAAAATAAAACAATTAGATACAGTTTCACTCTCATTAAATATCCAACAATTAAACAACAATTACTTATCTATTATCCACTCATATTTTTCAGTCGGCTTTGCTATGAAACTAACAGTTGACTCAAAAGTGGAACTAACTTTCTATATACAACAAGTAAAACCTATCACATTGGTTGAGTACCTAAATAACACTAATATAATTTTATTAATATGGTAGGTTTACTGGTATAATATGGTAGGTTATTTAAGTAATATGAACCTTTTTTTTTTTTTTTGGTACAGGAACCTTCCGGTTTCCGGATCCACAGGGGAACCGACTAATCCGGAATCGAGCCGGGTAGGACCACAAGGGCGGCAAAGCTCTCCCTCAAGAGTTTTAACACTGCTGCATTCTCAGGGTTCGAACTTGAGACCTCTGGTTAAGCTGGAAGAGACCCAAGCCATCTCATCCAAACGCTCTTGGGTAAGTAATATGAACTTTTGACTTCATACCTAAACCGATTTTTCTGTATAATTTGTATATTAAAAATTGATCGTAAATATACATTTATCTGTAAAATTTAGCATTCATCAACTCAAATATTTATACAATCAATTGTTATTTTATAAGTTTTTTTTTATTATGTCATAATTGATTACTATTTTTTAAATCACAATAATAAGTCTTCCATTATCTTTTTCAACCAACCAAAATTATTTTTACCAATAAAAACATAACCATACCCTATTATATAATATAATAATAGGGTAAAATATATATATACTCCTCATTCCATTTGCAACTGATAGTAATTAAACTTTATGAATATTTATGATTTGCAATCTATTTTGTATCTTGACCAAATGACCGTTAATATGTAGTTGAGATTGCAAATCATGAATATTCATCAAGTTCAAATTGCATTTCACCATGAAAAATATTTTATTAATATTGTATAATAATTGTAACTTTACACGAAAAATTCAAAATGAATATAAAGAACTTATGCACATTATATATATATATTTTTTTTTTCTTGACCGCGACACTTCACACTTGCAATCTGCACCTAACAAAGTTGAAACTTTTTTCTGCAATTTGGTCAATTATATTGACAAATTTTGGACAAATATACAAATTTTCAGCTGTCATCCTTAAAATAAATAAATAAAACTGTATGTGTTCTTAACAGGATCCTTATACAATAATACGAACTTTATAGTAAATCTCAAGATCCTTATATAATAATACGAAATTTTACGGTTTTACTATGAAGCCAACAGTTGACTCCATAGTGGAGCCAACCTTCTATATACAACAAATAAATCTACCATATTAATAAAATTATATTAATGTTATCTAAGTAATTAGAAAATATGGTAAGTTTACTTATTGTAAATAGAAGATTGGCTCCACTATAATACCGATTATTGGCTTCATAGCAAAATCGACAAACCTTATAGTAAATTTCAAAAAGAAAATAAAAAAGTTATTGCCCATTAATTGGATTCAACATGGCCTTATCACTAGAAAACAGCAAAAAATGTTGAGTGTGTTGGTAACTGTCATCTTTTTTTTTTTTTT